TGCAGTAATGTGCAAATTTCCCCATGGTGGGATCAATAAAGTTTTATCTTATCTTATCTTATCTTATCTTATCTTATCTTATCTTATCTTATCTTATCTTAAAAAGCTAACAGACTAGCTGGATGTCAGAATATCTCAGTTTTAATTTAAAAGACAAAAAGAAGACAAAAATGAAGCTGAATAAAGTTATTTTGAAATTATAAAACCAAAAGTCTCCTGAATGAGCCAAACGTTCTGATAAACTGTACAAACAGCTAACTCAAAGTAAACAGAAGTGGTCAGATTGTAAAACATGTACGCAGGATGAATTCCGACCCTCCTGCTGTCAGAGGTCTCGTGGATCAGTTGGACCAGAGGGCAGCAGGAGGGTTCTTCAGAGACCCAGTCCTCACCTGGAAAATGTTGACGTGGATGAACGGCACAGAGAACATGGCTCTGCACACCAGCATGCAGAGCAGGGCGCCGTGCACGGACCTGAACCCGGACACGTTGATGAGCAGCCAGTACTGTGAGTACAGGCCCAGGACCACCATCAGGACTGTCCTGAGCCTCCAAACCAAACTACATCCATCAAGATGAGCTGAAAACCAGACAAATACAGCTGAGAGTCAGGTCACACTGTACAGACAGGACACAGGGTGGGAACCCGACCCGACTCACTGAGGGCAACCAGCGGGGTGACGACCGGCACAGCCAGGGGGGCCACGAACAGGTAGATGGTGCGAGGCAGGGAGGGGACCTTCCAGACACTGGAGTCTCCCAGTCCCATGACGTTGGTGTAGGCGTGGTGCATCTTAACGTGACCCGTGACTCCGGCGTGAGCCGAGAACGAGCCGCAGACCTGGGATCATCGACAGACGGAACCGGTGAACCCTCCTGCTGCCCTGGGGTCAAACAGAGGCGTTCATTTCTCCTCACCTCGATGAAGAAAACGGCCCAGAACTTCTTCAGGACCTTTGAGTCGCTCAGCGTCCCGTGGCTGGCCAGGTGCGTGCCTTTGACAGTGATGGCGGCGTGGGCGACCCCCATCAGAAGCATCCCCAACAGGAAGTGCGGCAGGTGGGAGGAGCTTAGCAGCAGGAAGGCTGCAGGACAACAGGAGGTGGATTTCAATCAAACTCACAACCTGATTCAAGATGGCCGCTCTATTTTATAGAAAATACAAAAACCAAGAGGTTTACAGATCCTGAGCTGTTACTTGGTGTGGTAGTAGCTGAGAGTAATCCTCTCTCAATTCAAGTAGAGGTCTCTGTACAGAGGGTGGGTTTTTGGCTTTGTGGGCGGAGTTTGTCCTAAACGTGATTGCCAGAGTTTGAAAAATGGGCGGAGTTTCTTGGGTGTGGGCGGGGTTTGTCTTAACCGTAATTGATCATTAACTTGTCTTGTAGGGCAAGTTAAAAGATGAAGTAATGTTAATCAAAAAACGTGTAAATAAAATTTATGGACCATAAACTTTGTGCAGCTTGCGCCTTCCTATCTGGAGTTTTGACTAAAACTAATATTTATTTTTTAAAATTTCGGCACTTTTTGGCTGTTACGAACAAAGTTAAACGTACCCCCCCCCCCAGCTGCCTCTTCAAACCCCACCCATAATATTCGATTTGACCAATCACTGCCTTCACAAACTCCTCCCACAAAAGTCAAACAGACCAATCATGTCTTTGACAAACTCCTCCCACATTGCAAGAGCCGCCCACTTAGTGACTGCACAGACCCCCTTTAAATTTTCATTAATTTTTTTTAATTTTGGGTAAAAATCTAGAACTGTTTTTTTATATTTGAGGTTCTGTTAAAGTTGTTTGTAGTGTCACTGTAGCACCTCACATCTGTCATTTAAGTCAATTTAAAGCTAATAATTAATCATTTCTAACTGATCAAATGAGCAGAAAAATCAGCTGAATCAGAATGCTGTTTTTATCAGACTCAATTTTCAGCCCAAAAACTTTCCTCACATCATTTCCTCGCATTCATAAATCAGACATGATGTTTTAGTCATTTTATTCAACAAACAACAAAAATGAGATTAAACTAGACATGGATTTTTACGATGTAAAAACAAGTGTGCATTGCCATGTAGCATGTCATTGCAACATGCCTTTGCCTGCAGCAGTGGACTTGCAGAATGAACTGTGACCAAGTTCAAATGTGTTTTCTATACCAATTTGTGCTTGTCAAGTCAGCAGGTGTTTGTAATTATGGTAAKTGYRTAASRATATGAAGTTTGTAGTGATTTTTTGTTAAAGTTGCTGTAGCTGGGTTTTGAACCCAGATCTCCCACATGAAAGCCCATAGAGTTAACCATGAGACCAGTGGAGCTGTGGCAGATGATACTGCCAAGGGTTGGTTTGTATGTGTGTAGAAAGAGGCCACATTGCCAATGCAATTGTTGACACAGAACTGCATAATACTGTATTACAACAACAGAATAATATTAGGAGAAGATTTTAGTAAAACATCAAAATACAATCATATTAGTATTGTATCACTGAACTACTGAGTTTAAATATGATTAAACTAGGGTTCAGTACTGAGTAGATACAGCAAGGGGCGGTATTGGACCAATACAAGGCTCCACTGACTGGCATTGTATAATTTTAAACATTAATATTTCAAAAAGTATAAGTTGCACAGGCACCAAAAGGCATAGCCATCATTTGGCACGGGAGCTTTACAGATATAAATTACAATGGCAGCTCTAGGACAAAGTATGCAGGAGGAGAAACGTGCCAAAGTGGAGATGACTTGGATGGGAAACGAATCACAATAGTGTTAAAGTGGGTTTTAGTTCCTCTGGCTGCCTGCAGTGAGCTCGTTAAAACTGGGCTCATATGATCCGTCTTGTATTTCAAAGCTGCCCACTTGAAGCTGATAATTCCCAAACTCCTTGCATCGACGTGTTGAACACGTCCTGTCTGAGCTCAGCACTTAAAGAAAACTGTAAATAATGAAAAAGCTGTTCTGCAAAACGAAATGTAGCCTCTTTCAGCTGTCTTATCATGAGTCAGCAAGTCACCTGAGGTGAACTGTATGAAACCTGGCACCATGAGTCAGCAGTTCTGAAAAAAAAATTTTATTAATAAAACATAAAACTACAACATGTCGAGATGTTTACGGTAACAGAGCAGCTACTGTCTGAAATTCTAACAAAATTTAGGATTTATTTATTTATTTATTTATTTATTTATTTATTTATTTAATTTAGTCCAGGGGTGTCAAACTCAGTCACACAAGGGGACCAAAATTCAAACCTTGGTTCGAGCTGAGGGACCGTTTCCGTCAGCATTTCTTGAAAAAAAAACCTGATTTTAAATGTTTTCAAACAAATTTTTCTTATAGAAATAGAAAATCCTTTTTTCCAAATGATATTTTATGTAGGGTTTAGAACATATACTCCAACAAATAAAAGGAAAAGAACATATAAACAGTATAAACTCGACTCAAAACTATTTACTTTATTGTTTCTTAGAATTACATTTTATTCCAGTAAATCAGGAAAAAGACGAAACCTTCAGTAAAACTCCAGTTATTTGTTTATAAAAATAGAAGAGAATTAAAGGTGACTGCTATGGAGAAAAGACTGCATCAAATAGAAACAAAAAGAAAAACAACTAAATTATTTTACATTTAAAATATTACCTTTGAGGCCGGATAAAACATTAGAGAGGGCCAGATTTGGCCTGCGGGCCTTGAGTTGGACGAGTGTTCTTCAGAGCCAGACTTTTATTTTCAAGAGTTTCTTTGAAAGTGGTCTCTATAAGTGTTTTAGGATCTCTTCACCAATAATATTCAGTTTTGTTGAACTTTGATCAAATTTTGACATTTGATTAAATGAAAAAAAAAAGAAAAAATAATGAAAAAAAAATAAAAAAAAGAACAAACTAAATAAAAAAGTGACAAAAAATCTGCTCAGTCACTTGTTACTTCAATGCAAGAACTGGACTCTGGACTATTTCACAGACTGATCAGAGATCGGTTCTTGACCAGGTTCTTGGTTAAGAGTCATGCTGACGGGATTATCCACATATTTCAGAGCAGAGGTGCCCAAAGAGGGGCCCACAGGCCCACACACTCATAGTGCTGACTTTATCTTTGAATTCTATTATTATTAAGACTAAACATGAAAAACAAGTGACCACGTGTAAATTTACACACTTTAGAAGACCATAAATAATCAGATTTGATCAATTTACGAAACGTCCCATGACCACCCCGCTCTCTGACATTTCTGTTCCAGTGTTGTATAAAGTACCTCAAAGTGATACTTGAGTAAAAGTACAAGTATCTTATCATAAAAGTACATTGGTAAAAGTTAAAGTCTTCTCTAAAAATATTACTTGAGTAAATGTCTTAAAGTATCTGATATTTTTTGTACTAAAAATCAAAAATTTCTGACATAAAATCTACTTAAGCATTAAAAGTAAAAGTACTGAGTAAAAGTGAGCAGTTAGATTTTCCAAAATGACATTTATTAGGAGGTGATTTCTTCAAAAAATATATTTTCTAACAGCGTGCAGCTGTGATGGGTTGTGTACACGCTAATATAGTATCAGAATGGTATATATTTATACTTCTCATCCAAACACAATTAAACTCACTCTATCCAGGAGACAATTTGTCAGGATAGTATTTTTTTAAGTAATAACTACTAATAAAATAGGATTAATGACTTTCTACTTCTTACCTTTTTAAAAAAAATGTAGTGAGTAGAAAGTACAGATAATTGTGTAAAAATGTAATAAGTAAAAAGTACGCTGAAAAATACCCAAAAAATCTACTTTAGTACAGTAACGAAGTATTTGTACTTAGTTAGTTTACAACTCGGTTCTGTTCTACAGAGTAAAAAAGGTTCATTCAGGAAGTCGTTTATCTTCCCTCTCTGGAGAAAAGCGCAGCAGCAGCAGGATTGTTGGTTCTGGGAGGAATTTACTTTATATCTGAACTGATAACATTTCTGTTGAAAAGTTCATCTCAGCAGAAAAGAGAGTGAAAAGCTGTGAAACAATCCTCAGAACATAGAATAATCCTTGAAATGAGAGCGGTTTGTTCTCACCAGGAGGCAGGCTGAGGAAGGCTGCTCCCAGGATGCTGCAGTCCAGCCCCCTCCTCTCCCACCAGCTGCTCTCCTTCATCACCTTCTGCACCATCCTGGTCAGCTCCATCATCAGGGTCTCCCGCTCCTCGGCCTCCCCGGCCCTCGGCCCTCCGTCCTCCCGGCTCTGATCCGGTGAACCCTGCATGCCGAGCAGCAGCCTGAACAGAGTCCACAGGGGGAAAGTCAACACTCAGCCCGGCCCCTTCCTCCTCCTCCTCTTCCTCATCTCTTCCCTCCTTCTTTTAACCTGGAGCTTATTGACCCGTACAGTAAATGATTCAAAACCGATCTATGAAAAACTGCGTCTGCCCTTCTCAGAGGCGACTCTGCCTCCTCTCCGGTGTCTCATACATTCTGCATTAGCCCCCATGTGACCTCCCCCACCCCCCCCACCCTTCTACCTTTTCAAATATCCAGGGAGAAGACGGAGAAAGCTGCCTCTGAGGTCCACCCCAGGCCGAGGTTCTGCAGGTGTTTTCACGGTTCGCTGTGTTTGTGTGTCGACGCATGTGAGTGTAAACGTGAGCTGCGTGCACGGATCTGGTGTCAGGTCCTCTGTAGGGAGGCCCGAGTGCAAAGATACCCTGAGTGGTTTTTTTTAACTCAACAGGACGGCAGATTCTGCAGAGAGGGAAAACACGAGGAGCAGGCTCTGCTTTCTGTCCACACAGGCCGAGCAGGGTCAGCAGTGTGGAGGAGAAGAAGTGACTTTTTATTTTGCTTGTTTTACAAACACAACGTTAGGAAAACAGAATACGGTGATTTGCAAATCCTTTTCAACCTATATTCAATTGATTTGTAGGAAAAAATATGTGGTGTTCAAAATGGTATGTCCAAATAAACAGGAATCCAACTGGAACTAGACATGGGTTTTTACGATGTAAAAACAAGTGTGCATTGCCATGCAGCATGGCTTTGCCTGCAGCAGTGCACTTGCAGAATGAGCTGTGACCAAGTTCAAATGTGTTTTTTATACCAGCTTGTGCCTGTCAAGTCAGCAGGTATTTGTAATGAGGGTAATTGTGTGACAATATGAAGTTTGTAGAGATTTTCTGTTAAAGTTGCTTTAGCTGGGTTTTGAACCCTGTTCTTCTACATGAAAGTCCATGGCATTGAGCATTAAACCATTGGAGCTGTGGCAGAGGGGATTGCCAGGGGTTGGTTTGTATGTGTGCAGAAAGAGGCCACATTGCCAATACAATTATTGACACCAAACTGCATAATATTACAACAATAGAGCAGTATTAAGACAACATTATAGTAAAACATCAAAATACAATCATATTAGTATTGTAAACACTGAACTATTGAGATCAAATATTATTAAACTATGGTTCAGTACTGAGTAGATACAGCAGGGGGCAGTATTGGACCAATACAAGGCTCTATTGACTCCCATTATAAATTATTAAACATTAATATTTCAAAAACTAAAAGTTGTACAGGCACCAAAAGGCATAGCCATCATTTGGCACAGGAGCTTTACAGATATAAAGCCTGGGACTGAAAATATGGATGGAGGACAACAGAGCTGCTTCATGGAAGAAGAACCTCAGCTTAGCCTGCTAGCTTTAGCTCTAGCGCCGACGCTATATTGCCTTTTATGTATTAGCTCAGTGCTAGCGTGACAAACAAGCTAAACTGAGGTCCTCCATCCTTATTTTCATTTGCAGCTGAGTCATTTTTGTGTTCCCCTCTGTCATGTGGATGGAGGACCTCAGTGACGAGAGGAGAATGTGTAGCGCTGAGCTAATACATATATTTGGTGATAGCATCGAGGCTAATGCTAAAGCTAACAGGCTAAGCTGAGGTTCTTCTATGTTCTGTTTTTCTGAGAAACTGTCATATTTTAACTCAATAAACATCACATTGTTTTTACTAAATAATGTTAAAATTAAAAGCAAAGAACACAGTGACATAGTCCGACCTTTTTAAAGACTTATACCTGGTTTATAAATGATTAAAAGTCGCGTTGGCGCTAATTTCTGTAAAACTTTACAGGTTTTTATGAAACACTGATGAGATCTTAGAATTCAGAGCTTCTAATTAAAATGAATAAATATGGAAATTCATTCAACCAGATTTAAATTTACCCTCCTTACATTTATCTCTGGAACTAAAAATGTTATAGATATTTTTACTGAACAAGTCCAGAGGTTTGTAGAGTGAAGCAGATTAGACTTACCTTTCTGAGATCCAGTCCCGGAGGCCTCAGGTTCCTTTAAAGCTTTAGAACTTTAAAATCAACCAGTTTATGTACCGTTGATCCTGAAGTCCTGAACTATGAATCAAAATTCTGCAACCAAAGTTTACGAAATGTTTCCTTTGCGCTTCAGACTGTGACAACTTAACACAAAAGCTCTTTAAAGTATGAGAAATAAACTTGTGTACATGTACACGTTTCAGCGAGTTGGCGAATTATTTGTAAAAGTCAGTGTGCCACCAGAATAAAGTCACCTCCTCAACTAAAATGATTGAACAAATGCTTTTGTCGTCACTCAACAACTGAAAATATAAAGTTTTAAAAAGAAACTGAGTGGATATTTGTGAGGTGATGACTAATCTTAAAAAGATGAGTGGAAAATGTTGAACCGACAAAACATTTTTAATACTGAGACAATATGAGGATAATTAATCTGAGATATGTCATGGTGTACCTCAGGGCTGTGTACTGGGCTCTCTACTGTTTGAACTCTCACGGCTCCGTTCATTCATCAAGCAGAGAATGCCAAATTATGTTTCTTTACCCCTCAGCTTTACTAAATGACTTCAAATGAACCAGATTGAACATCATAAAGAATACAATCACTTGGTGAAACTTGCTAAACTTTGCCACCAGATGGTGCTGTTTCCCGAAACTCTAACTTTAATTAGTGGTCGACATGACTGCTTCTTGGCCCACAACATGATACGGTTCAAATACACTTCTGAAGCTGCTCGTGCATTTATTAAACAGAAATGAAGGACAATAATAAAATATGAGTCAGAGCTCAGTGTCTTCAATGGCTTCTGGGTCCTCGATCGTGTCCAAACGTCTCTTACAGGCGTCCAACAGTTTTTTTCTGGGGCCCAAAGGGATGTGAATGCCGGTGAGGTCCTGTTCTGAACAAAGCAGCAGAGCCTCCAGGTCGATCTTCTCCCGACTGAGGATGGACAGGAACTCTCCGAGGCCCTGAGAGGCCAGGAAAGTCTCCAGAGGGTTGTTTTCAGGCTCCATGTCCTCGTCCAGCTCCACGTCCATCTCCTCCCAGGGCAGCTCCTGCAGGTTTCTTTCCTGCAGGCTGTAGGCGCTGCCGATGCTGTCCTCGTCGAAGCTGGGGGGGCGTCGGGGCAGCTGTCCCCGCAGGCGGACGTTAGGCGCTCGGCCCACGGGTTCGCTTCCCGCCACGCTCCCTTCGTTTCGCCCTCCCATCCCGAACATGCCAGCGGTCATGTAGTTCCTCCTGAACACCATGGTGCCGAGCCCGGGCCGGGTGAACAGAGAGTCCCGCCCAGAGTCGGCGCTGATCTCTGAGTACGCCGCTTCGTAGAGACCCGGGTCGCTCATGGCACGGGAGACGGACTCGACGTCGTCGTCGTTTTCTCGGGGGAACATGTCCCGGATGTTGAGACGGGTCCGCTCCTTGGGGTTGGCGTAGGTGCCTTGTTTGAGGAACATGACGTCGTTCCCCAGCTGCAGTCCGGACAGCGAGCGCACGCTCCTCCTCCCGTCCTCGTAGATCTTAAACGTTCCATCAACCTGCTTCTTCTTCTCCAGCTTCTTCTGGATCTTGGCTTTGCCCTTCGCTGTCGAGTGCAGGGTGGCCTGAAGAGGAACGTCTACATTTAGAAACTTTCAATGTGTGATGAATCTACAACTGAGTATTATAGGGCCCCACGATGAGATTTTTTTTATTTATTCTGAGATTAAAGTTGTAATATTACGACTTGTGACAATGATAATAATAATAATATTTTATACACACACACACACATATATATAATATATATAATTATATACAGTATGTATATATAAAATATGAAAATAACATATATTGTCATGTTTTGACTTTGTTTGCATGATACTGACTTTATTCACATACTGACTTTATCCTCATAATACTAACTTTATTCTCATTATGATTCTTTTCTCATATTTTGACTTTATTCTCCTAATACTGACTATTCTCATACGACCCATTCTCATAAAACCATGACTTTGTCATAATACTGACAGTATTCACATAATACTGACTTTATTCTCATAATACGGATTTATTTTCTCATGACTTTATTCCCATAATACTGACTTCATTCTCGTTATACTATGATTTTATTCTCCTAATACTGACTTTATTCTCATACCTTGACTTTATTCTCATACTGACTTTATTCTCATAATGCTGTGACTTTATTTTCACACTGACTATTCTCATGATTCTATTCTCATATTTTGACTTTATTCCCATAATACTGATGTTATTCTCATAAGATGTTCTCATAATACTGACTTCATTCTCATAATACTATGATTTTATTCTCCTAATACTGACTTTATTCTCATATTGTCTTATTTTCCTTGTACTGTGACTTTATTCTCATTATACCGACTTTATTCTCATATTGTCTTTATTTTCCTTGTACTGTGACTTTATTCTCATTATACCGATTTTATTCTCCTAAAACTGACTTTATTCTCATACAGACTTTATTCTCAATATTGTCTTTATTCTCCTTCTACTGTGACTTTATTCTCATAATACTGACTTTATTCCCATAATACTGACTTTATTCCCACAATACTATGATTTTATTCTCATAATACTGACTTTATTCCCATAATACTGACTTTATTCC